TGGGGACCACGCTGACCACTGAGAAGCGCTATTTAGCACAGACCAATACAGTTTTGATTAGGGATGCACAGATACAGAGTACTTGTACTCGCCCAAATGCTCGATATCTTCTCCAATACCTGAACTTCTGATCAGAGGAAGACTTCCTCTGACCGGCAGTGCCGGAGGGGAACATGGAGCCAGCTTCCCGTGCAATCAGGAAGCGGGTCAGCGACTAATGACCCGTCTCCCAGTTTCCTGATTGGCCAGGAAGCCAGCTCCTTGCTGATTGGCTGGGAAGCGAGCTTCCCGGCCAATCAGGTAGCCTGGGAGCAGGTCATTACTCACAGGCCCTCTTTATGAAGACATCAGGGGTCTCTAAGACCTGGACTGCTTGTATGTAAACAGCCATCGCTGGCTGTTTAAAATGTTGACAGTTTCCCGCTCATATCTGCGTGAGGCGGTGCACACGAATGGGCATGGGTCCCATGGACGTTTTAAAAACGCCTATCCACATCTAGAAGGTGCACATCTGGCCGTATATGGCTGGCGGGTGGCAAGTGGTTAGTCACAGACCTACTGTGATTAGCACCTTGAACCAGTGACACAGGTCTTAGGGCCGGTTCAAACCATATTCAGTGCATTCTGGCACGGTTAGTGCCCGGAACGCACTGGATCGCATAATTAAAGCCTCACACATTCTGGGGTGGGAGGGGGCGTGGCAATGCAATTCATTGTGATCGCCCGCACCGGAACGCATGGTACAGCAATGCCCTGCATCCAGTGCGGTGCGATCGCTAAAAATAGTGTATGCATTTTTTACAACTAATAAGGAAATCCACCAGCACAGTACAGATAGGACTAATTGTCATAAACATTAAATTAACATTAAATAGGAGGGAGGCTAGGTAGGATTTTTAAGCAAGTAAAAAAACACATCTACAAATGTGAGCAGCAATTTTTATTTAAGCTATGCAATGTGTCTGGGAACATATTGCAAGTAAAAAATAGGCGTTATCCCAATTTGTCTGCAAATATAGAAATACACTTTAAAATTAGGTATACATAAACAATAAAAAAAAGTGATGCCATAGACTTTTGTCCCTTCAGAGAGAATGGTGTTATCTCATGGCACATATCCATTTATAAACTGGAGACGAAAATGTTAGTAAGGCCACCCATACTGATCCTAATAGAGATCAATGAAACTGTCACTTGCTACAATCTGGCAGGTAAGGGGTTAACTACTAAGTAAAACAGGTATAGCAGAGTATAGCAACGCAGTGGGAATTCAATGCATTGCTCACACAGATTTCCAATATTTTGGAACATGTAGACACAAAGCTCGGTTGGGTGAATTTTCTTAATTTTTTCTTACTGATGCACTCACAATTAGATCTCAAATTGTATCTACATTTTTCCAGTTTGAAACTGTTTCCTGTATTAGCTGACTTGTAACTAGATGAAAAACTTCATGAAAAATTTGAATTTTAAAAATATCCACAATAGGCATTTTTAAAAAGTTGCAAACTATTAGCACAATAATAATAATAATAATAATAATAATAATAATAATGTCTGGCCTCAATGCCTGCCTTGCAGGAAGAATAGCAGAAACTTACAAGAAGGGCCTGCAGACTTTCAGCTGGTGAGGGAAGAATAAGAGGACAAAAAGGAGGAAGATCGCAGGATACTGCCACACATGCGGTTTGACCGCCCTGAAAAAACGGTCCTACTTTATGGTGAGTGAGGATCTCTACATGATTTACATGGTGGAACATCATAATTGGGAGCTATAAGTGAACAGAATTTTAAGAGTGTTTATTACCATATGGGCTTGATCGGACACTTTCTATTGAATGGATGACAATTAAACTTATATTTGCAGACAATTACCACAGGGCTATATTATGGTCATTGTTTGGACTAGTCTTAGAATATTTTCAGTTCATATTTATTTGATGATATAGGCATTTGATGTGCAGTGCATACACTTGATACATATTTTGAGGGTTAATTACCTTCAGCACAGCTGCACAATCCACAAAGGAAGTTTCTATATCCTTAAGTGCAGATTATTGGATTTTTTTTCACCCATAATCCTCATGTAAAAAAATTATACACATTCTTACTAGAAATAGGTTAAATATGTTCCTTGGCCTGTGTAATCACGATACTCCATGATCCACATGGAGAAAAATTATACCCATATTCTTATCGGAAACCATTTAAATATGTTCCTTGGGATGTGTAGCCTTGATATACCAACCATAATCTCCATAAAGAAAAATTACATCTCATTTTTTTTTATCAGAAACACATCAAAATATGTTACTAGGCATGTCTAACTACGATATTCAACCCATAATCCTCAAGGTTGAAAAAAAGGAAGTGGTTAGACATTTGCACCTATTTTTCACAACTTTGTATCAAGCACTGCAGAGAAGAAAATACTTTGAGTTACATTTATATTTCCATGTAAAAAGGTGCAAAAAGTATACTGTCACCTAGTGAATATGCTGGGCATTGCAGCCAATCATACCAATACGCTGTTTAGTACCTCACGGATAATACGTCTCATTCAACGTATTGTGCCCAGGTGTAGATAGCTGAATATGAAATCATTTTAAAAAATGCAGGTTCCCTATATGTACTATTCTACCGTAGGATATAAAATTTTTCAGTAAAGCTCTGCCAAAAACGACACACTGATCTTTTAGGGACTGCAAATTAGTCACACGCCTTGAACTTATAGATTATCATTTCTCTTTAAAATACAAACCAAGAGCTCATTGCTTCTTATCGGATTTAGCCCCGAATTTAAAGCACACATTGCTCTCACCTGCTCGATATCCATGCCATAACCGCGACGTTCCTCCATCTTGATCTCTGCACGTGCACCACTGGGCATTAAGTAACTGCTGCACTTGACAAGCATGCGCACAAAGCAAAAATGGAAATAGCTAGTTCCTATCCTGCAGATTGCACAGTGATGTCACAGGAAACATGTGACCCGAAGCAGGAAGTAGTGGGCGGGAAACTCAAGTGAATTGGAACGGTAGCGGCTAGTTCCTATCCTGCAGCTTGCTCTGTGATGTCACAGGAAACATGTGACCAGGAAATAATAGCCGGCAAACTCAAGTAAATGGGAGCGGCTACAGTGGGCGAGAGGCTGCAAGCAGATCACACGTTTTTTTTTTCCTGTAGGTTTCCCTCTATAAATACGTTTTGCTGTGTGAAAATCACACGCACCTGGTGCGTGCGTGTGTTTAGGTTAGTAAATCACCTCCTAGGTGTGATTAGGAATATCTGTGTCAGGAATTTGTGTTTTCCTGCAGCAAGAATCATTAAACCAGTATTTACATTCAGCAGTTGTCCCGTTCAAGGTAATGATCAGGTGACAGCCGCTGCATGTAAACGCCAGCACACCGCATGAAATTGTAAGTGATACTATTACATGTGGTAAGCAATCAATTACTCTGCCTGGATGCATGACAAATGGGTCCAGGGAGAGTGATTGATTCCTAACCATATGTAATCATTTCACTTACAATTTCATGCGGTGTGCCAGGGTTTACATGCAGCGGCTATTACCTGATCATTACCTTGAAAAGGTGACAGATGCTGAATGTCAATACTGGTATAAGGTTTCTTGCTGCACGAATATGCAAATTCCTGACACAGATATCCCTAATCATACCTAGTTACAGATGTGAATGAGGCCTAACACACACACACACACACACACACACACACACACACACACACACATATTTACTGACACTGCACACATGTATACATACCCAGAAACATTAACAACCATACCCACCTCACTCACAGAAATCCTGGGAAGACACAACACACAAACCAACACTAAAAAAATATACTGACATTGCATAAAAATAAATGATCACAAACAAACACTGATATCATAAACACACGCAGACATTAATGCTGCTGAGAAAAAATCATCCAGTGCCCCCCTTATTGAATTGAGTTTTAGACCCCCTTCAGTATTTAATCATTGCAAATACCACCAGCTATAGAGGACTACAAGTCCCAGCAATAGTACATTATAGCTGGTGAAATTGCGCTGTATAATGTATTATTGCTGGGATTTGTAGTCCCCTATACAGCACAATGCAGAATACCACCAGCTATATAGGAGTACAACAAATCCCAGCAATACATTATACATAGTGTATAATGTATTACTGGGATTTGTAGTCCTCTATAGCTGATGGTATAATATACAGTACAGCGCAATATACCGTCAGCTGTAGAGGAATACAAATCCCAGCAATACATTATAGAGCTACATGTGTGTGTGAAAGTGCAGGCTTACCTGAGCAGTCTTCCACCAACTTGCTTCTGAGATCGGGCCTGTCTGTCGGCGGCTGTCATCCCCTCACACCTGCTCCAACTTCTCTCCGCGTCCCTGTGCTGATCGTGGATGTGGGCAATGCGCGTGCGGCGGGCAGGTCTGGCAGCAGCAAGGGGGAGGAGGTGTGGCATGTGGATGCGGTCGGGTCCGGCAGTGGCAAGCATGAGGCGGGAAGGAGGTGCAGCATGTGGATGCAGGCGGGTCTGGAAGCAGCAAGCGGGGAGGAGGTGCGGCATGTGGGTGGGCAGGTCTGGCAGTGGCAAGCGGGAGGAGGTGTGGCACGCGGCGTGTGTGAAGCCGTGAACAAGGTCAACTAATCGAACGCTGATTCATCTATGATTGAAAATGTTGACAACTTTTTCAATCATCGATTATAATCGACTTAGTCGATTTAGTTGTTGCAGCCCTACATTCATCCCTGATTTCTGGGCACAGTCCCCG